TCACCCCTACTCAAAGTTCATCCTGCTAGCAAACATGGGAAGCAACTTCCATAGGTAAGTCACAGTGCTAGGGACTAAGTTAACTATGACCGTACATGGCACTAAAGGAAGTTAGGCTCCTGAAGAAGCTCCGGAGGGAACCCCTATGGCTGTGGGCAATGGCCCGTGGGCAATGGCGGCGTCACCACAACAGTAGGAATAACACCTGGTGATAAGACCTCATCTTTTTCCCTCTGTTGTCCTGGCCTTTCATCAGGTCCTAGTTCATAGCTAACTGTTTGCTTGCACTCTTCTCTGGGATACCTTCTCCCCTTTAAAACACCACCAGCCTTCCCTCAAATTTGACTCAACCCCTTGGCTTCCTGTATTTCAATCAACATATAATTGATAAATCAACTCCTATAATTTCCCTTTTTCAAAATCCTTAGGAACTTCTTGTGGTCTCTGGAGGCAGCATCAACTCCAAACTTTTTCATTCTGGGCTCTTAGGAATGCCTCACATGCACCCATGACATCAACAAACCCTCTCCCACACCCCTAGACACGCCTGCTCCTGCCGCCTCGCTCCCGGCCCCCTTGTGACCCTCTGCAATCCCTTCTGTAACAGCCCGATGAGGTCCTGGAGTCTCCACTACCACACCACTTCAGCTAGGCCTGGTATTGCTCACTCCCTACCCTGATCTCTCCATCGGGTTTTCAGGCCATTAACCGTGCGACAGTATTTAACTTCAAACGTGTAAGCTTTGTTCCAAGCTAAATCCTGAATTCTTTTAGGTCAGGAAATTCTTTTTGAACTTCTATTTTAACTCCCACATCTCCTAGGACAAAGTATATAGAGTAACCCTTAAATTGAGATCATGGTGAACCTCCTGTGAGTAGTAAAACTTCAAGAGGACAGTGGGCTTCTTTGGCACCTCCGTGTCTGCTTTAAATCTCTGGTCACTGGCCACGAAGGCTTTGCTCAGGGAGCTATAGGAACAACCGATCAGTTCTAGACTTTGATGCCCAGTTTATGAATTGGCTTGTGAGAATCATCTGCTGCCTTGAAGAGACTTAGAAAGTGCAAATTACGTAGGCAAGTCCAGACTATGGAAGCATAGCTCAGTAGGGGCCTGGGAATCTGCATGAATACCAGGTACTGTGGCCCATCTGAGGCACAGCCACGACACGGATGCATTTTGTGGCCCAGCCTCCTCTTTCAGTTGAGCATATTAAAGCACCCAAAAGTGGAACTGAGAGCAAGGTTCATATTGTAAGTGGCCAGGCCACAATACACCCCTTGATGGGTTACCTGAGTAACAGCTACTTCCTGTGTGTGTTGCAATGTTACAGAAAAAATGTATAGAAAAAAATAGGGGCAAGATTATGTTGAGAAAGTCACTTTGCATGAGGTGCCAGGTGCTTTTGATACTTTCAAGAATTTTTGTAATTAAAATATTTTTTCGGGGCGCCTGGGTGGCTCAGTCAGTTAAGTACCCGACTTTGGCTCAGGTCATGATCACATGGTTCATGGGTTTGAGCCCTGCATCGGCCTCTGCTGACGGCTCAGAGGCTGGAGCCTGTTTCGGATTCTGTGTCTACCTCCCTCTCTGCCCCTTCCTCACTCTCTCTTTTCTCCTCTCCCTCAAAATAAGTAAACATTAAGAATAAATAATAAAAATACTGCATTGGAAGTGTGCCTGGGCAGCTCAGTTGTTTAAGCATCCAGCTTTGGCTCAGGTCATGATCTCAACAGTTTGTAACTTTGAGTCCCTTTTATTTTATTTTTTTTTAAATTTTTATTTATTTATTTATTTATTTTTTTTGGAGAGAGAAAGTGTGAGCAGGGGAAGGGCAGAGAGAGTGGGAGACATAGAATGTGAAGCAGGTTCCAGGCTCTGAGCTGTCAGTGCAGAGCCGGACCCAGGGCTCAAACCCACATACTGTGAGATCATGACCTGAGGCGACGTCGCGTATTCAACAGACTGAGCCACCCAGGTGCCCCTGAAAAGTACATTTGAGAGTATGTTGGTGTGTGTGTGTGTGTGTGTGTGTGTGTGCACGCGCGTGCGCGTGTGTACGCCAGGTGATGAGGGGTTAGTATGATAGCCAAATCTGATGCTGGTCATTGTCTGGGAGGGAGTAGAGCCTCATTGCTAAGAGTGGGCTCTGGAACCAGATTGTGTTTGAATCCTGGCTCTGCCACTTGCTACCTGTGTGGCCTTAATCTCTGTATCATGCCCTCATTTTATTTTTATTTTTTTAATAAAATTTTTAAATGTTTTTAATTTTTTTCTGAGAGAGAGAGAGACCGCGTGAGCAGGGGAGGGTCAGAGAGAGAGGGAGACACAGAATCTGAAGCAGGCTCCAGGCTCTGAGCTAGCTGTCAGCACAGAGCCCGACGTGGGGCTCGAACCCACGAACCATGAGATCATGACCTGAGCCGAAGTCGGACGCTTAACCGACTGAGCCACCCAGGCACCCCCTCATACCCTCATTTTAAAATAAGAATTAGTGGGGGGCGCCTGGGTGGTTCAGTCGGTTAAGCGTCCGACTTCGGCTCCGGTCATGATCTCATGGTTCGTGGGTTCGAGCCCCACGTCGGGCTCTGTGCTGACAGCTAGCTCAGAGCCTGGAGCCTGCTTCAGATTCTGTGTCTCCCTCTCTCTCTGACCCTCCCCTGCTCATGCGGTCTCTCTCTCAAAAGTAAATAAAAACATTAAAAAAAACTTAAAAAATAATAAGAATTAGGGATGCCTGGGTGGCTCAGTTCGTTAGGCTTTTGATATCGGCTCAGGTCATGATCTCACGATTTGTGGGTTTGGGCCCCGTGTTGGGCTCTGTGCTGACAGCTCAGAGTCTGAAGCCTGCTTCTGATTCTGTGTCTTCCTCTCTCTGCCCCTCCTCTGCTCGTGCTCTGTCTCAAAAATAAGTTTAAAAAATTTTTTCAACTTAAAAAAATACCAGGAATTATAAATAACACCCACAAGACAGTAGACAGGATTCACTGAGTCCGTATGGTACAGTGTTGGGCACACCGTAATTGCTATATGTGTTTGCTATTATTAATGCTATTACAGTAATATTCCTATTACTACTAGTGGACCTTTTCAGTAGCAAAATGGGGAAGAGAGTCAGGAACCGTGTATGAACGATGAAATATTAACTGAAAGATTTCTTCACACATGCAGATGTACTTGAGATGGGCAGACAAAATATCAAGACGTTTGTAATCTTTTTATTCTTCTAAAATGTCCCTCTTAGAACTTGATTTCCTATAACTCACTTATTACCAACTGTACAACTTGGGGGATGCGAGAAAATACCAGATTTTGGTAACACAGCCTTCCTGGTCCACAGCTGTGAAGGGGAACCTGCCTGCACTGGCTTCCCCGTGCCAGTGAGGATGCTGTGCCAAGCTCCAGAAAAGTCTGTGCTGCTCCTCAGAGCGGACCTTTGTGCGCCCGTGTCCAGTGACGCTGCTCCACTCCAGATACTCATTCAAGCTCCTTTCAAGTGGACTGGAGGGTTTCGATTAAAGCACTCTAATTTTGACAGAAGCCGGGCTGACTAATTACAGGTTGCTGGTGTTCAGGTGGCCTTGTTCTCATGCGTCTGCCCCGCCAGTAGGAATGTTTTAGCCCCGTATAATCCCTAGGGCACCTAGCCCGAGAAGCCGATGAGAGCTCTGAGACTGATGTGCAGGGAAATAAAGGCAAATTTGTGTGAGACATTGTTCTCCCATTTTGCTCAGCCTCTTTTTTTCTTGCCCACTCTCCACTGATCTATTCAATTTTCCTCACCTTCCTTAATGACTGTTTCTTGCCTCCTGGGAAAATCATGCTGTGGCTTGGTCCAGATCTAGTCCTGAGATTCAGCTGTCCCTAACCCTTCCTTTAGAACAATAATATGCAGATGAAACCGATTAATCTGCGTGGATGCATTTATTCTCTGGCATATAACTAGATTTCCTTCATGGTTCCTAAATGTAGGTGGGTTCATTCAACAACAAATATATATTGGAATGAATTAAAATGTGATTAATTCTCGGCGATCTTACTCCTAACCGTCCCCCCCCCCCCCGCCCCCATCCCGTGTACAGTAGCAGTTCAAAAGTTTCAGCACAGGAATCAGCCAGCAAGCTTGGGTGAATGAGCATTCCTGAACAGATTCCAATTCCGCAGATCAGCCTCAGGAATCTGCAATGAGCATCCCCTCCTACGTCTGGTTGGTGAACTACACTTTGAGAAGCATGCTTTATTGTACCGTCCAATAGATAGNTTCATGGTTCCTAAATGTAGGTGGGTTCATTCAACAACAAATATATATTGGAATGAATTAAAATGTGATTAATTCTCGGCGATCTTACTCCTAACCCCCCCCCCCCCCCGCCCCCATCCCGTGTACAGTAGCAGTTCAAAAGTTTCAGCACAGGAATCAGCCAGCAAGCTTGGGTGAATGAGCATTCCTGAACAGATTCCAATTCCGCAGATCAGCCTCAGGAATCTGCAATGAGCATCCCCTCCTACGTCTGGTTGGTGAACTACACTTTGAGAAGCATGCTTTATTGTACCGTCCAATAGATAGTGTGGTGTACGCCACTTACGTAGTTTCAGGTATTTTAGTAGCCACATTTTTTTCCCAATGTTTGTTTATTTTTGAGAGAGAGAATATGAGTGGAGGAGGGGTAGAGAGAGGGAGGGACAGATTATCTAAAGTGGGCTTTGTGCTGACAGCACAGAGCTCAACGTGGGGCTCAAACTCCTGAACCACAAGATCATGACCTGAGCCGGAGGTGGATGCATAACTGAGCCACCCAGGCCACTAGTAGCCATATTTAAAAAGTTAAGAAAAAAAGTGAAACATTAATAATCTACTTATTTAACCTATGATATCTAAAATATTTCAAAATATAATCAATATAAAGTTATTGTAAGATACTTTATACTTTTTTTGCACTAAGTCTTCAAAATCTGGTTTGTGTTTTACACTTAGAAATAATCTAAGTTCAGAGTAGCCACATGTGGCCAGTGGCTGTTTTGTGTTGGTCTCAGCCTGTGGCCAGTGCCACAGTGAGCCACCACGGACCTTTCCTTGTTCAGAGCCATCGTCGTGGCTGTACCAGCCCTGTGGCTCTTATCATTACAAAACAAGATTATTACGATTGTCTCCTGACTTTGACAGGAGAATGCTTATCTCTCACAGGCACTCACAGGGGCCACACCGTGAGGTCGATATGGTCTTGAAATTCACCCATGAACCCATTTAGTTTCAATTCAGAAGTGAGATTTTATCCAGCAGATGATCTGGTATTTTAGAAAGGAAACTGTAGGCATCTGCCACATTCTAGGAGGGTGGTCCAGTCTGTCTAACTGGGATAGTACGGGATCCAATTCTGTCTCCATCACGTGGCTCTTGACCATTTGGCAAAACAGTATTGATCTTTATGTCAAAGGCTTTGTCCCCCAAGCAAAAGACCTGACGTGTGAATGTCCGCAGCATTCTGGTTTATCGCCGCAGGCTTTTTTCCCATCCTTCCATGCCAGAGCTGCTCTAAACTGCTCTGGAATGTTCTAAACATCCTCTCCCCTCTCTGAATTATTCTCCTTTCTTCTTTCCTTCACTACCCTCTTCTTTGAGTGAGAAGCAGAATTCAGTAGGAAACGGTTGAAGGGTTGGGGAGGCAAAATTCAAGGCTGAAAAAGAGCAGAGCCTGTCCTCCCCTGTGCCTCAAGCCCTAGGCAGAATCCAAGAAACAGTGGCGTCCTCTTCCTCAGAGTATGCAGTATGGCCTCTGGTGTGAATCAGGCAACGGTGCTCCCCATCCCCGGGGGCTGGGGGGATGTTAATCAGGGGCGAGTCTGCATCAGTCTGAGATGCTAGGGGCTGACAACATGATACTTTTGGTTTCAGACATCAGGCGCCGAGGGTGGGGGGTGGGGGCGCAGCTGGCCCGCAGGGCATATTCAGCACGTGCAGTGGGTCTTCTTCGGCCCCTGGGCCATGAGAACCGGCCTGGAATCCAGGGCCAGGTCATTCAGGGTGCTCTCGCCAAACAAGTGCAGGCTGTTGCGGGCGATCAGCTCCCGGGCCATCAGCACAAAGACCTCATCTATGTTCTTAGACTCCTTAGCCGAGGTTTCCAAAACAGCAAGGAGGCCGTATTTCTCAGCCAGAGTGCAGGCATCTTCAAACAGGACATGGCGTTTTTCCCACAGGTCACACTTGTTCCCTGGGAGGGAGGGAGAGAGAGAAGCAAATATTCCACTGAGGAACTGAAGCTGGTTGTTTTGTTTTGTTTTTGTTTTTTAATGAACCTTAAGAGAAACATTTTAGTTTGGCAATATATACAGCATGCATGCATGCATTCATAAATAGCACCTGTGGGCAGGCTAACTGAAAATGAAACCACCAATGTATGGAAACAGCCACTGTCTTCAGTCATTGTCAAGAATTTCAGGAGCTGTGAGAAAGGCTGGGGGGGGGTGCATTTTATTGGCAGGGACAGGTGGAGGCTCTGTGTTCTAGGAAGGGACTGTCATTCCTTCGAAGTCTAAACAGCCTAAAGACTGCCAGAGGGGGTCTTCTCTCCTTCAAATCTTGTTTCTTTTTTCTTCTATTGTTTATTTTAGAGAGATAGCAGGGGATAGGCAGAGAGAGTAGGGGTCAGAGGATCCGAAGGGGGCTCTGCACTGACGACAGAGAGCCCAATGCAAGGCTCAAAACTCAGACTGAGATCACGAGCTGAGCCGAAATCAGACACTTAACCGACTGAGTCACCTAAGTGCCCCAAATCTCATTTCTCTTTTCCCTCTCTTTTCTAAACCACAAAGCATTGGATGCTGCCGGATGGCCCTGGTCTAGCTGAGGAGATTGCGAGTTACGATTTGCTGAATTGAAGGTGTGGAATGAATAACGTAGGATTTAGCTACACCTTACATACAACCTGCTGCAGACGTTAGTGTGCAGTTCATGAGTTTCAAAAAACGTTTACGTTCTGTAAACACCTTCCCCTCAGGATATAGGACATTCTCTATCACCCCAGAAAATCCAGTGAGGGGTTTTGCAAGCATGGTGGTAGAAGGAAGAGTGACCCATCTCTGCCTTCTCTACTCCAGCCCCTATATTCATTTAATCATTGGACTTTGAGTTCTCTGAGGCAGGAATCTAAAGGTAAAATTGTCTTCCTACAGGATTTGTTTTACCAAACATCAGGTTTTCTTACAAAGCTACAGTACTTAAGATAGGCGAGGCTCAGGGCACCAGGGTGGCTCAGTTGGTTAAGTGTTCGATTTCAGCTCAAGTCATGATCTCACTGTTAGTGGATTTGAGCCCTGCGTTGGGCTCTGTGCTGACAGTTAGCTCAAAGCCTAGAGCCTGCTTCAGATTCTGTGTCTCCCTCTCTCTCTGACCCTCCACTGCTCACACTGTCTCTCTCTCTCCCTCAAAAATAAATTAAAAAAAAAAAAAGACAGGTGAGGCTAATGTATCTCAACCTGTTTCCCATAAAGGAGTCTTTCTAGACCCTTTTTTCTCGTAATTACCCCTCCCCATCATGAAAACCTTTAAACTTAATTTTTTAAAAATGTTTATTCATTTTTGAGAAAGACACAGAACAAGCGGGGAGAGGCAGAGAGGAAGACACAATCTGAAGTAAGCTCTAGGCTCTGAGCTGTCGGCACAGGTCCCGACGCGGGGCTGGAACTCACGAACCACAAGATCATGACCTGAGCCAAAGCCTGACACTTAACTGACTGAGCCACCCAGGTGCCCCTCAACTCTGGTTGTTGGAGGAGCGCCTTCAGGGAGGCCCAGGTACCTTTCAGCCAGTTTCCCCATGGGTCCTCTTTTGTAACTATAGCACAACTTCAAAATCAGGAAATTCACACTGGTGCAACCCACAGCTTACTCAGATGTCACCAGTTATAGGGTCCCTTCCTTTGTGTGGGTGCGCGCATGTATAATTACATGCAATTTCATCATGTGTTACCACCACTGCAGCCAAGGTACACAGTGGTTCCGTCCCACGAAGTTCCCCTTCCTGCCACCGCTTTATAACCTTCCATCCCATCTAACCCCCAACCCTGGTAACCACTAATCTCTCTACAATTTTGTTATTTCAGCAATATTCTATAGATGGCATCATACAGGATATCACCTTTAGAGATTGGCTTTTTTTCACTCTGCATAATCCCCTTGAGGTCCATCCAAGGCTGTATTGGTAATTTATCCCTTTTACTGCTGAGTAATAGTTCATGATATAAATGGACCAGAGTTCAGCCATCCATCCTCCCATTTGAAGAAATGAAGTTGATTCTAGTTTTTGGTTAATTATGAATAGAGCTGCTATGAACATTTGTATATAGATCCCATGAAAATTTAGTATCAAATTTAGATACACTGTATATCTAGCCCTTTGGAAGGATACAAGCTGTTGCAATGTCTAAGGCACTTTGCCCCCACAAGAGAATGCATGAAATAGATCAATAGAATGGAATAAAAAACAAGCATGCACCAATATATGCACCTTTTACAGAAAGATGGTATCAGAGGGGCGCCTGGGTGGCTTAGTTGGTTGAGCGTCCGACTTTCGCTTAGGTCATGATCTCGCGGTTCGTGGGTTCGAGCCCTGCGTCGGGCTCTGTGCTGACTGCCAGCTCAGAGCCTGGAGCCTGTTTCAGTCTGTGACTCCCTCTCTCTCTGACCCTCCCTTGCTCACGCTGTCTCTCTCTCTCTCCCAATAAATAAAACATTAAAAAAAATAATAAAAAAAAAATAAAGATGGTACCAGAGCAGTGGGAATGGCTGCCCTTTTAGTAAATAGCACTGGGGCAATTGGATCTTTATATGAAAAATTACAAATTTTGGCCCATACTTCTCATAATACACCAGAATAAGTTATGGGTGGATGATAGATCTAAATGTAAAAGCCACAATCAATTGAAAGAGAGGAAGAAAGGAAGACAGACAACTTGTTTCAAAAGACTGAATATCTTGATGACTTTGATTAGCAGATTTACTAAATAGGACACAATGAAACAATCTTAAGGAAAATATTGATGGATCGAAATTAAGAATGTCTAGGGGTGCCTGGGTAGCTCAGTCAGTTAAAGGTCTGGCTCTTGATCTCAGCTCACCTCTTTTTTTTTTTTTTTTTTAACATTTATTCATTTTTGAGAGAGAGGGACACACAGAATCTGAAGCAGGCTCCAGGCTCTGAGCTGTAAGCACAGAGCCCAATGCAGGGCTCGAACTCACGAACTCACAAACCGTGAGATCATGACCTGAGCTAGAGGTGGATGCTTGACTGAGTCACCCAAGCACCTGCTTCTAGAAGAAAAATGTGAGAGCCCCTAGGTGGGGGAAGGGATGTTGTAGGAGTGGCTGTCCCTAAGCTTGGAGTCTGGTCTGCGCCTTGCATCCCTGTTAATTCTGATGGTGTTTTGTTGCTAGGATTTGCTAGGATCTTAGCAGATGTAAGGAGTTATTCCTGGGTGCAGTCAGCCACATGTGTCTGAGTGGCTCTCTTGTGAATCTGGAGCCATCTGATATTGTGAACCTCGAACTACAGAGTATTTTCTGTGTGGTCTATACACATTTGCATCAAATCAGTATGAAGGGTATGCCTTCGTCTAGAAGCCGGGGCCCCATCCCAGGTCTCCAGAATGAGACACTCTAGGGAGGGGCCTTGGAATCTGTATTATTAGCAAATTCACCTCCCATCCCGCCGACCCCCATTCACCCCATTCTCAGGTGAATCTGATGGGACGTTGTGGGCCAAACACTTTCTGAGGTCCTGTCCACCCCTGCACTCGTGATTTCATGTGCTGTTGACATCAAAAACACCCAAAAACCTGAGCATCAGCGGGCGGGGGCTGGAATAAAAAGCTAAATGCTTTGAAAACAGCATACCAATCAGCATAATGACCAAGTTCGCCGCGCCATATTTTTCTATCTCGTGGATCCAGTGAGGAACAGACTCGAAGGTGGGACGTCGGGTGAGGTCATAGGCGATGATGGCCGCATGGGCGCTGCGGTAGTAGCTTTGCGTTATGGTCCGGAACCGCTCCTGGCCTGCAGTGTCCCACACTTGCATCTGGAGAGGGGCAGAGAAGGGGGTCCACATCACGAGTTCCCATGTCTGATGGGAACTTGCCCACCTAAGTTGTCCGAAAAAGGCAGTTTTCTGGGTCTCACTTTGAGATACCCAAAATCAGCAGGTCTGGCGTGGGGCGCAGGAGTCAGTGTTTCCGTTTGCTCCCCAGGGTAATTTGGATGCGCTCTCAGGTTCGGGCGTCCCCACCTACAAACAGGTGGATCCAGTGTTTTGGGTTTGGTGTTCTTGACCTTTTTACCTCTGTCATCCCTTCATTTAGACTTTGGGGTTTATCTTTTGAAACTGCTTGTTGCTATCACTCAAGGTGATAGCATTGGCTGAACTGGTCTGATTTTATTTATTTCTCAAAAAGTTTATTTAAGAGAGAGCGAGCAGGGGAGGCTGCGGCAGAGAAAGACCGAGAATCCCAAGGAGGCTCCACAATCTCTAACTCATGAACTGTGAGATCATGCCCCAAGCTGAAATCAAGAGTTGGACACTGAACAAAGTCACCCAGGCGCCCCAAACTGTTCTGATTTTAAAGGACCACTCAGCTGTTTACATTTAAGAGTATCCTTGGGGGAGAAGGGGAAATGGGTGATGGGCACTGAGGAGGGCACTTGTTGGGATGAGCACTGGGTGCTGTATGGAAGTGATGAACCATGGGAATCTACCTCAAAAACCAAGAGCACACTTTACACATTGTATGTTAGCCAATTTGACAATAAATTATATATTTTTAAAAAGTATCCTTATGGGGCACCTGGATAGCTCAGTCAGTTGAGCATCTGACTTCGGGTCAGGTCATGATCCCCTGGCTCGTGAGTTCAAGCCCCACATCAGGCTCACTACTGTCAGCACAAAGCCTGCTTCAGATCTCTCTTTCTTTCTCTCTGTTCCTCCCTTGCTTGTGCTCTGTCAAAAATAAATAAAACATTTAAAAAAAAAAAAAAAGTATCCTTATAATAATGCATTTGCAATTATCAACCCAAGCAGAGGCACCCATTGGCACACCCTCCACAGTGTCTAAGGGTACTTGTTTGTTCACTCAAACTATTTAGAAAATGTATTATTTAATTAATTAACTTTTTTTTTTTTTTTCCCAGTAAGTAAGCTCTACACCCAATGTGGAGCTTGAACTCGTGACCCTGAGATCAAGCGTCACATGCTCTACTGACTGAACCAGCCAGGGGCCCCTATGAAATGTATTTTTTTTCTTGAAATGTATTTTTTATTTATTTATTTTTTATTTATTTTTTTTAATTTTTATTTCTATGAGAGAGAGAGAGAGAGAGAGACAGCGTGAGCAGGGGAGGGTCAGAGAGAGAGGGAGACACAGACTCTGAAATAGGCCCCAGGCTCTGAGCTGGCAGCACAGAGCCTGATGCGGGGCTTGAACCCACGAACCGCGAGATCATGACCTAAGCAAAAGTCGGACACTTAACTGACTAAGCCACCCAGGCGCCCCTGAAATGTATTTTTTAAAGAAGGTTTGCAAACATGTCCCAAACTAGAGAGAACAAAACAACGAACCTTCCTATATCCATCATCCAGACTCAATAATTACCAAGATTTCACCACTCTTGCTTCATCCAGCTCCTTCTGTTGAGTTCTTTGATTTCTTTTAAAGTGGATCCCAGACTTTATGTCATTCATTTGTATCAGAAGTGGACAGTTTTGGGCACCTGGATGGCTCAGTTGGTTAAGCATCTGACTCTTGATTTTGGCTCAGGTCATGATCTCCCGTTTTGTGAGTTCGGGCCCTGCGTAGGACTCTGTGCTGACAGCACAGCCTGCTTGGGATTCTCAGTCTCCCTCTTTCTCTGCCCCGCCTCCCCCCATTCTCTATCTCTCTCTCAAAAATTTTCTTACATGAGCACAAGGCCACAAATTGTTGCCGTTCAACTTCTCAATAACCCTTTTGTATCATCCAGTACCTGACCACATTGCAATTTTCCTGATTGTCTCCAAAATGTCTTTACCATTGTTTTTAATCAAGATCCCAAACAAGATCATGCTTTACATTTTCACCAACACTTTCTGATCTTCTCTAATCAAATGGGTAAAAGGTAATGTCCCACTCTTATTCGAATTTGCACTTTTTAACTTATGAGTAGGGATGGGCACCTTTACATCTTGACCTAAATTTTTAAGCTAGTTCTTATTGAACTTACGAAATGGCATTTGTGTCCAGTCTGTGGATTGCTTATTTTTTGTATTTAGTTATTGGTCTTTTTCTTAGATATTTATTGGGGCCCTGTTTTCACATTAAAGAAATTAGCCCTTTGTCAGTCACATATTTGCAAATACTTCTTTCTAGTTTGTTATGCATCTTTTGACTTTACTTATGGTATTTTTGTGGATGTATAAATTTGGCCTTTATTTTTATTATTATTTTCTTTTAAATTTTTAATTTTTATTTTTTGAGAGAGAGAACACAAGTGGGGAAGGGGCAGAGAGAGAGGGAGATACAGAATCTGAAGCAGCCACCAGGCTCCCAGCTGTCAGCACAGAGTCCAACGCAGGGCTTGAACGCGCAAACCATGAGATCACGACCTGAGCTGAAGTCAGATGCTTAACCAACTGAGCCACCCAGGTGCTCCCTAGTGTTTTACTTTAGAGGGGAGAGAGGGGCAAAAGGGGAGAGAGAGAGAGTATCTTAAGCTGACTCCACACTCGGCACTTTGACCTTTATATCATTACATAGAGATGTATAAATTTGGCCTTTAGGTATGTCTGATTGAACAGTTTTTTCCTTTATGGCTTCCGGATTCTTGTCTTAAAAGGCTGATATCCAAGGTGCCTGGGTGGCTCAGTTGTTTGAGGGTCAGACTCTTGGTTTTGGCTCAACTCATGATCCCAGAGTCATGGGATTGAACCCCACATTGGGCTCTGTGCTCAGCATGGAGGTTGCATATGATTATCTCTCTCTCCCTCTGCCCCTCTTCCCTGCTTGCAGGTGCACCCTCTCTTTCTAAAAAGAAAATTTTTTATTTTTTTTTATTTTTTTTATTTTTTTATTTTTTTTTTATTTATTTCTAGGAGAGAGAGAGAGAGACAGCGTGAGCAGGGGAGGGTCAGAGAGAGAGGGAGTCACAGACTGAAACAGGCTCCAGGCTCTGAGCTGGCAGTCAGCACAGAGCCCGACGCGGGGCTTGAACCCACGAACCGTGAGATCATGACCCAAGCGAAAGTCGGACGCTTAACCGACTAAGCCACCCAGGCGCCCCAGAAAATTTTTTAAAAAGGCTGTTTTCCCCATTCCACAATAATAAATATTCTAATTTTTTTTTTCTGGTACTCTTATGAGTTCACATTTTATATTTAAATCTTTCATTCCTCAGGCACGTGTTGCACTGTTCAGAACTCTAGCCAAAAGAGGTGGCGCGAACCCCATGCCCTTCTGACCTTCACTTTCTTGCCATCGATCTCAAGGGAGCGCACAGTGAAATCCACCCCGATCGTGTTCTGCTGTGTCTCTGTGTAGACCCCAGATTTGAAATGCTGCACCACACACGTCTTCCCCACATTGGAATCCCCAACGAGGATAATCTTGAACAAATAGTCAAAATTCTCATCTGCTGCCCTGGATGCGCTGGAGAATTGCATGGCTCTCGCCACCTAGAACAGACCTGGGAAGAAAAGAAGGAATTCAGCCTCTCTTTAGTGAGCTCGGCACTGTTCTGTCAGGAGCCAGGGACTCGGGATGCAGGACAGGACAAGGGAAAGGGAGCTTCTTGCTTTCATGGCACTAGCATTGTGGGGGAAGGACATTCATTACTGGTCAGGGACAAGGGAGCTGCCCCTCCCCACAAGCCCACACCTGCCCTCCGTGGGTTGACATTACAATGAAGAGGTTTTGCTGCCATTCTCTTTTGGGCCCAGCACAAAGGCAACACTTGAGATGACACGATTTGACTGAAATCTTAGTCATGAGACCAAGTGCCCCACACTCCATCAAGTGCCGAGAGCAGGAGGGTGGCAGAGGGAGAGGCCTACGGGAGTGTTCTGCTGCCATTCATCAGTCGGGGACATGCCTGGATGTCATGCTGTCCCCACTTCGCATGGGGAGCAACGCTCCCAGCTATGGAAGACAGACGTCCAGGCAACCTCCAACAAGGGTGGACGAGATTTGACATGGAGGTCAGTTTGGGGAAGAGTGACATGGCCTTTTCTTCTTGTTTTCTTGGCCAGGAAATTAGGATTTTCAGATGATTTCACAAGGAAAACTATGCAGGGCACCTGGCTGGCTCGGTTGGTAGAGCATGCGACTCTTGATCTCAGGGTTAGGAATTCAAGTCCTATGTTGGGCATAAAAGATTACTTAAGAATAGATAAACTAAATGGGGCGCCTGTGTGGCTCAGTAGGTTGAGTGTCTGACTTCGGCTCGGGTCATGATCTTGGCGGTTCGTGGGTTCGAGCCCCACGTCGGGCTCTGTGCTGATAGCTCGAAGCCTGGAGCCTGTTTCGGATTCTGTGTCTACCTCTTTCTCTGACCCTCCCCTGCTCACGCTGTCTCTATCTCTCTCTCAAAAATAAATAAAACGTTAAAAAATTTTTTAAAAAAAGAATAAATAAACTAAAAAAAACAACCAAAATGAAAACTATGGTTTTTTAAGTGTTTATAGCATATTTTACTACAGACTGAAAAAAACAACTTAAAAGTTTCTAATGACAGTGTTTCCTAAGCTAATTGATTATGTTAGAACTATATGGAGGAGATAATTAAAAATATATATTCCTGGAGCCCATCCCAGTTCTGCTAAATATAGTTAAGCGTGCGCGCGCGCGCGCACACACACACACACACACACACACACACACACAGAGGCACACACTCCCCAGGTGATTCTGATGACCATCCAGGTTGGAAGCGCTGATCGACATCCCTCACCTGAAACTTGATTCCCACTTCAGCATTTCTGCTTAAATATCTACCTATACTTACTATCATTGATCCCAAGGAAGGTACTGCCTTCTGAAAAAGTCCATTTGGCATGCTCAGCTCTAACTTGGATGGGGTTGAACTCTCTCTCTGGGGTTCCCATCCGTTGACCTTCATGCTGTGCCCGGACTTGGCAGGTTCCTATTCCACATGACGGCCCCTCAGATATTTGAAGCAGCAAGCGTCTCCCCTCAAGGCAAATATCCCCCGTCCTTTCAACTGTTCTAAACATCATGCTGTGTTGGGTCTCCTCCTCCAACGTTTCGTAAAAATGCATGAAACCTGATCTCATTGGACGATTAAACTTAACCCGCTTCAAATTGTTCCTGCCTTATGGCCCCCTTCTCCATGTACTTCCAGTTAGTTTTGAGTTTTCTCTAAAGTCTGAAAAGGACAAGTCTGTATCATCACACACATTGAAAAGCACACGGATTCATAATCTGCATGTGAAAACCCCGAGCTTTAAATGGATGAAGAAGGACCCCATTCCTCTCTTGGACGCCTCTGAAATCACCCTCAGCTAAATGATCCAGCAGACAAAAGCCACAATGAAACCACTTTCTTTTTTCCTTCTGGCTTTTCAAATAAAGAAGGCCGTTCTACTTCCGGTGTCATATCACTGTCACTTGAGCTGGAATCTTGCTTCCTTGATCCCCTTTCCCCAAGTACGTCCTCTGGGTTTCCACAGAAGGGCTCTTCACCTAAGCCTGGGGCCCCGCAAGGAGGAGCAAGGAGGAGTGAGCGGTGTCCCCTGGTCCCTGGCCCCGCGGATGCCCTCCATCCCGCATCCTGCAACCCCCACCTCTCTGGTTCACCTGTTGCTTACCTGGCTTGCTCTCTCACCCCTGCCAGCCGGCAATGTTTACTTCTCCGAGCTTTCCTCTTCGGCCCTCCTGCCTCCCTGGCGTGGTGGGAGCTGTAGTTCCGTCCCCAGGTGTCAGGTTTGGCGACCTGAGAAAGTGAAAGGAAAGCGCAAGCCCTCCCACCGCACCTGAGCCCGGCCGCTCGCGCGCGCCGTTGGGTCCAAAGCGCAAAGGCGAGGCGCTGGCCAGCACACCGCGTGCAGAGTCAGCCTCCGGGCCAACATCCGTCCCGAGCAGAGTCAAACGGAAAGGACGGGCCGGTTAACTCAGCCTCTACCTATTCAGCCTCCCACTTTACTTCCGTCTCCGCACTTGCCCTTTGCAGCCCTGGCCCCCCACTTTTCCTTGGGTCCCTTGTTTGGCGGGGGTGGGGGGGGTGGCTGTATGAGAGAAGGGCAATGTCAAGGAGAACACAGATCTGGATCTTGAGTCCTTTGTTTTGTGGACTTGCAGAGCATTCTGAGGAGCAATCGAGAGAAAGGAGGTGATCCAAAAAGAAGATTAAAAAACCAAAACAACTTTGAATTTGCACGGAAAGAAAGAGCTGGAAAAAAAATTTTGTTTCTCCTCCCTCAAAATATCCACCACACAACAAAGGTTAATTTCTAGGTCTGAGAAGATCTAGACTTTATCAGTCTCCTCCTGGCAGTAGAAGCCAAAAACTGAGGTAAGTTTTCCTTACTTTTTTCCCCCTCACCACCTCACAGATCTTAGGGACTAGGTTTTCTCCATGATGTAGAATGCAAGGTGTAGGCAGTTAGCTACCATGTGCAAAACTGAAACATCCAGATCGATAAAATATTTAAATTGGTATAGTGTTTTCAAGCTGGGGGTTGAGATCTATTAATGAGTCATGAAATCAATTTTTGTGGGTTGCAACCAGCATTTTTACAGAAGAAACTAGGACGAAATTTCAGAATATATCTCATGCAGTCACGCAGTAAGGATAAGTACTGTTTTGTGCAATGTTTGGGCCAGTTGTATACATGCATGTATGTACTGGGCTGATGTAAAATGTATTTCTTTTTTTAAACATATTTTAAAAATTTTTAAATGCTTTATTTTTGAGAAGGGGGAGTAGGGGTAGAGAGAGAGAGGGAGAGAGGGAATGACACAGAATCTGAGCTGTCAGCACAGAGCCCGACGTGGGTTGGAACTCATGTATGGCGAGATCACGACCGAAGCCAAAGTCAGACGCTTAACCCACTAAGCCACCCATGCACCTCCCATAAAATGTATTTCTTACTGTGGGTTGAGGCCTAAAAAGATTGAGAAACACTGAAACAGAGGACAATTTATTCACTATCAAGAACATTTCTTTCTATGATTCCTTCAGGAAACCTTTACATTATAATTTATCTTACCCCATATTCCATTTACACATCACTTTTCAGGAATCTCTCTTTTTGAGTAAGACAAACCCAATGCGGCAGTTAGAGCAAGAAAACAAAAGATACTGCCAGCTGCTGCTGCTGCACATTGTCACTTTGAGAGCCACTGTCATATGTCTGTGAATTGAAAATGAAACACAGGTCAAGATTCACCACCGTGTATGGGTAGGAGGCAGGAAATAAAACCTGTTCGATGTTACTGTCAATGACGTTAGGTGTCAAAATGGTTTCTTCTTCTGGTTATGGTTATTCGGAAAGAAAAAAAAGTCAGCTGAGTCAGACCCAGTACTTGGAGAACATCTAGAAGTAGAAATCAAATAGTAAGATGTCTAGGTGGTTATGGAAGTTAAGAATAGAGAGATTCTACCTCTCCCTCTCTGACCCCTCTCCACCAGACCCTCCCCACCAACGTGACTAGAAGTTCAGAGAGCATGGTGTGGATTTCTTGACCGAGTGGTGGTGACACAGGTTATATACTTATCTTATCCACACCCTCTGCACACAGATACATACATATATGCACACGCATACACACATTTTAGCCACTTGTAAGGACACTAAATATATTCACACTGTTGTGCATTCATCACTACTATCCATCTCCAGAACTTGTGCATCATTCCCAACTGAAACTGCCCCTTAAACACTAAGTTCCATTTCTCTTCCCGCTCAGCCTCTGCAACCCACTATTCGACTTCCTCTGCCTATGAGTTTGATTACTCTAGGCACTTCATGTAAACAGAATCATACAATATTTGTCCTTTTGTGCCTGGCTTATTTCATTTGGGATAATGTTCTCAAGGCTCATCTATGTTGTAGCATATGTCAGAATTTCAGTCCTTTTAAAATTTTTAAATGTTTTTTTAAAAATTTATTTCTGAGAGAGAGATAGCATGAACAGAGGAGGGTCAGAGGGAGAGGTAGACACAGAATCCAAAACAGGCTCCAGGCTCTGAGCTAGCTGTCAGCACAGAGCCCGATGTGGGGCTCGAACCCACGAACCGTGAGATCATGACCTGAGCTGAAGTTGGATGCTTAACCGACTGAGCCACCCAGGCGCCCCTCCTTCCTTTTAAAGGCTGAACACTGTGTGTGTATGTGTGTAATTTAAGTAATCTCTACACCTAAATGGGACTTGAATTCATGACCCTAAGATCAAGGGTCACATGCTCTTCTGACTGAGCCAGCCAGGCACTCCTTAAGCTTTTATTTCTCTTTAAACTTTTTAAAATGTTTATTTATTTTTGAGAGAGAGAGACAGACAGAGGTGAGTGGAGGAGGGGCAGAGAGAGAGAGAGGGAGGCACAGAATCTGAAGCAGGCTCCAGGATCTGAGCGGTCAGCACAGAGCCTGATGCAGGGCTTGAACCCACGAACCGTAAGATCATGACCTGAGTCAAAGTTGGTCACTTAACCAACTGAGCCACCCAGGAACCCCAAGATTTTACTTTTAAGTAATCTCTACACCCAGTGTGGGGCTCGAACTCATAACCTCAAGATCAAGAGTTGAACACTCCACCACCTGAGCCGGCCAGGGGCCCTTCCACAAAATATTTTAAAAAATAAAAGTGAAATGTTTGGCCGATTTGGTTTTGCTCACCCCGATATCACATTTTCCCAGCCATGCTTTCAGATGGCTGGGAACAGAACTACAACTGCTATGTGTAAGAGCAAATCCAAATTGAAAATAAGAGGTTTAACTCTCTTTCGGAAATAAGGGAAGAGAGAAAATAAGAACTCACACTTCCACCCTGCTCTTTTCTTGCTTTGTCCTTTTCAAACAGATGTATAGCTTCATAATGGCTCACTTCTTGTCACCCTCATATCAAGAACCTTTCCGGGGCGCCTGGGTGGCTTAGTCGGCTAAGCGTCCGACTTTCTCTTAGGTCATGATCTCGCGGTTTGTGGGTTCGAGCCCCGCGTTGGGCTCTGTGCTGGCTGCTAGCTCAGAGCCTGGAGCCTGTTTCGGTCTGTGACTCCCTCTCTCTCTGACCCTCCCCTGCTCATGCTGTCTCTCTCTCTCTCTCTCCTAGAAATANTGTTTCGGTCTGTGACTCCCTCTCTCTCTGACCCTCCCCTGCTCATGCTGTCTCTCTCTCTCTCTCTCCTAGAAATAAATAAAACATTAAAAAAAAATGAAAAAAAAAAAAAAAAAAAAGAACCTTTCCAGGACCTGGGAGCCGTCTTTTAAAATAGAGCCATGCTGGGAGAGAGGGCTCCAGTTTCCTAGTTCCAGAGAGGCTAAAAGCCTAACTTTTGTGGGCACCTTGCTCCAATTTGCAGCGCTATCTCTTGTCCTAAAGATAGGAGAAGTTTGTCTCTCCTTTGGATAAGCCCATTCAGGCAGTCTCCCCAATTACCCTGATAAAGTCTACCAACTATACGTGATGAAAGTTCCCATCAAGTCTTCTTAGTTGATGGCTAGTGACTGTTTATCTTGAGAACATGCATGTAAAGGGTTGAATCTGCTTGGGCGTACCCGGGAGAGAGTCCTTTCTGTCTTTGCAATCTGTCAGCTCATGGCTTGTGATGAGCATCACATTCTGGTTTAATGTTTATCTGGTAGTAAAACTGCCGTCTTTTTCTATCTTTGTGGAGAAATCCTCTTGGTTGGCAGATTTTTTTTTAATTTATTTTTATTTTTATTTTTTTAAAAAATTTTTAATGTTTTACTTATTTCTAGGAGAGAGAGAAAGAGAGAGAGAGAGACAGCGTGAGCAGGGGAGGGTCAGAGAGAGAGGGAGTCAGACTCTGAAACAGGCTCCAGGCTCCGAGCTGGCAGTCAGCACAGAGCCCGACGGGGGGCTCGAACCCACGAACCGCGGGATCATGACCTAAGCGAAAGTCGGACGCTTAACCGACGAAGCCACCCAGGCGCCCCTTGGTTGGCAGATTTTAAAAAAACATTATATTTGCCCAACAGGTGAAAGAACCCAAGAGGCTAGAAGGCTCCAATTCTAAGTCCTGCCTCCTAAGGCCTTTAATTTTGGCTTGAGGCTGTCAGGATCTTAACACTCATTTATTTGTTTGGGTGGGTGGGGTGGAGTGCAGAAGGTGAATGGCAGAGGCAGATTAATGGCCCTGTCTGCGTGGGCCACTGCGTTTAACTTATTTTTTATTTTTTATATTTTTATTTATTTCTAGGAGAGAGAGAGACAGCGTGAGCAGGGGAGGGTCAGAGAGAGAGGGAGTCACAGACTCTGAAACAGGCTCCAGGCTCTGAGCTGGCAGTCAGCACAGAGCCCGACGCGGGGCTCGAACCCACGAACCGCGAGATCATGACCTAAGCGAAAGTCTGACGCTTAACTGACTAAGCCACCCAGGCGCCCCTGCGTTTAATTAATTTAAACAAAAATCTAAATTTATGCCTTTATGGCTGGTCAGGAGCAAACTTAGCAGCATGTTACTTTCCATACAAACAAAGAGCATAAGTTTTTCTGAAAAGGAAAGATGACCTGTATAGCAATTCTGCCCAGATTAGATGTTATCTCTCTCTCCCTGCCTTTTTTCCAGTTTACACTCCTGGCCGTCATCCGACCCCCAGCCCAACAGCCAGGTTCGCCGAGGCCTCCCCCGTCCTCCCTGTCGCTCTCGGTGCTACCTAGGCGTCCCGCAGGTGAAGCAGCGCGCTCGGACTACAACTCCCAGCATGC